CCCCCCTACTCGTGCGTCCTTATCTCTCTCCCCCTTCGCAGGTTCCGTCATCACCATCCCCGGTGACCCTCATCCTCATCATCGCACCTCTCCGTATCCGTCTCTCCCCGTCTCCCTCTCTCTCTCTCGCTCTCCCTTCCTGCTGTTGTTTTCTCTCTCTCTCTCGCTCTCGCTCTCTCTTTCCTTCGGTCCCTCTCTCCCCCGCTGCCCTCCCCGTCCTGCCCTCGACGGCCCACGCCTCTCCCCCTAAACCATTGTCTTTCCATCCTCGTCCTCCCCCCCCCATTTGCTCCTTCTCCTTACCAGCCTCGAGCGTATCCCTATCCCTAAGATCGACACGCCCAAAGGCGATGACAATCTTAGGGATCCGCCCTCAAAAATAAGGGAATCCCCAAGATTGGCATCGTGATGAGGAGGTTCCCAGCATATGTTCCAGACTGGTAATCTCCCTCTCGGCGCCCCCAGCGGGACGTCCCCCGGGCCCGTGGCCCATCTTGGCCCGTGGCCCCTGGCAGCGCGTGGCTCGCCGTGGCCCTCGCTCTCTCTTCGTGGCCCGTGGCCCCTGGCAAGGGGGGGGTTCCCGGGGCACCCCCTGGAGCAGCGCGGAGCCCCCCCCAAGGATTCAAGATTTCCTCCTTGACTACCTACCAGACCACCCCAACCCAACCCGAAGACCCGAATTTGACCCCAATTTCGGGTTGGGGGGGGGTACGGGTTCCATGTGTTTTTTTCAACGTTCCTCGACCCCCCCCCCCACTGGAAATGGAGGGCAAATTGAGGGTTTCGGGTTGGGTTGGGGTGGTTTGGTGGGTGGTGACTCCTGAGGTCCTCCACAGGGCCTCGCATGGACCTCGCAGGAGCATCCCAGTGTCCTCCCTGATGCGCCCCAGCGGCATTTCGACGGGTGGACCTCCAAGTGGTTCCCGAGTGCCTCCACAAAGCTCGCGCCAGCCTGAAGCCCAAACACGGGCCCCACCCGGCCAAAGATGGTCCTAATATGGCCCGCAAGGCGCCGCAGACAACCCGTGAGGGCCCCCATGAAGCTCAGTAGAAGCTCCAAGACGGCTCCCAACGACCCCCCCACGAGAGCCCCTCCCCCTCCCGGTCACGTTTCCTTGTAAGTGCTGTGTTGCCCCCTGCGAGCAGCGCTTGGGCGCCCAGGAAGCCCGAAACACCCCGAGTTCGACATATGTGGCGTAAGCCTGGAGACCCTACGTGGGCAATATACGTGGTACGACCTACCCTTAACAGCATATGAGACGCAACGTACGTTGTGTAATCTAGGTGGTGCACTCTATGTTGTGAAATTCACCTTGCCGAACTTGAACTTGTCGATTCCACTGTTCGCGCACTCGTCCCACCCACCCACCCGCAAATTGGCTTGCAAACCAATGTGGGAGCGATTGCGATGAGTGCTTGGCGTTGGCTGGTGCGCCTCAGCGGCCGCGCTAGCCCGCGCATGCTCGCGCGCAGCAGCCAGCTAGTTTGGCGCGACCGACGCGAACGCGGTGGCGCTGACCGCTCGGCACATCCCAGCGGGCACGTGTGTCGACTTGGGCGGGCGCGGTATCATGGCAACGCCGACAAAAGTAGACACGATGATGATAGTAGCGATGCTGGCGACGATGCTGACAGCGAAGACGGAACAACTAATGACGGCGCCGATGCCGATCACGCCGACGACTATGACGGCGATTTCGCGTCGGTGATGAAGGCTTTGGAAAAAGCTCGACATGCGCTCGCGGCAGACGCGCGAAAGTGGCAAGCATGGTAGTATTTGACCCGGATCGTGCCACCCCAGCACGCGCGCAAGGGCGTTCGAACGATTTGGACATGCGCGCGCGCGAAGCTCGCTTGGCAGCATGTTATGAGCATGTTGAATTTTTTAAAAACAAATCGCAAGAGGGCGCGCGCAATGTGTTGTGGGAAGCCCGTGTTTTGAAAGTCCCACCAGCCCTTTGGGCGTGAGTGGTTTAGCGAGCTCTCTCTGTCCTCAACCCCCTAACCCCCTATCTTCCCCTTCGGGGAGGGGTTTACCCCTCCCCCTACCCCCTCCCCTGGACCTGGAGAGGGCGGGCCGAGTGTAACCACGGGGGTCTTTTTCTACTCCTGGGAGGGCAAAAAAAACGACGACCCTCACGAGGATTCTGGCCCCCAGGGGGGGGGACCGTTTGGCGCCTCTACTCCTCTTCGAAGCAGAAATCATTGATTTTACTATGGTTTTGGCCCCATTTTGGACTCCTGAAGGGGGCCGCGCTCATCGTCCTTCCTCGCAAAATCATTGATGTTACGAAGGTTTTGGGCTCATTTTGTACTTCTTAGGGGGCAGCTCCACTTTGCGCTTCTGAGGAGGTCGCAAGAGGCCCCAAGATGGCCCCAAGAGGCCCCCAGGAGGCTCCCAAGAGGCCTCCAAGAGGCCCCCAAGAGGCCCCCAAGAGGCCCCAAGAGGCCCCCAAGAGGCACCCAAGAGGCCCCCAAGAGGCCCCAAGAGGCTCCCAAGAGGCCCCCAAGAGGCCCCCAAGAGGCCCCAAAAGAGGCCCCCAAGAGGCCCCCAAGGCCCCCAAGAGGCCCCAAGAGGCTCCAAGAGGCCCCCAAGAGGCCCCACGAGGAGCCCGAACGACTCACACCAGGACGAGGGGCCCGAACGACTCACACCACGAGAGCCCGAACGACTCACACCACAAGGAGGGGCCCGAACGACTCACACCAGGACGAGGCGCCCGAACGACTCACACCACGAGGAGCCCGAACGACTCACACCACGACGCGGGCCCCGAACGACTCACACCACGAGGAGCCCGAACGACTCACACCAGGAGGAGGGGCCCGAACGACTCACACCAGGATGAGGGGCCCGAACAACTCACACCACGAGAAGCCCGAACGACTCACACCATGACGAAGAGCCCGAACGACTCGAACGCACGAAGAAGCCCGAACGACTCACACCACGAGAACGGAACGACACCCAGAACGACTCACGACACCAGAACGACGAGCCCGAACGACTCACACCACGAACGACTCAAACGACTCACGAGGAGCGCTTTCTCTCCCTCCTCCTCCGCCTCGTCCTTCTCCCGCTCCCCCCACAAGGAGGATGTACAAGGAGGCGGGAGGAAGGAGGAACAGGGGAGATATGCGGGGCCAAGTGGACACACGCCTGAAAAACACGACTGTCGGCATGCTTCGCAAGAGTTGCTGCTGTGAGATGGGCTGGTGGGGATACGCGAAGCGTAAAGAATTTGACATCGATGTTTCAGCACTCGATGTTTTGATATGCTGTTTTTCTCGCTCTACGTTGCAACACTTAAGAGACCGATGGTTCTTTGAAGGATCCCGGCATGTGCGCGCGACGACGCTCGCGTGCGCATTTCGTCGCATGTGTTGCAAAAGACTGTTGGCAACTGATGACTTTTGATAAGCCAGTGCGCGCGCACAATATTTTGGCAGAGGATTGCGGGGGGAGATACCGGCCCCCCTGGGATGGCATCTTACATATCGGATGGACGATGGGGCAGAATCGTATTTAACTTGCAATACGAAAAGGGGTACCGATAGTCCCGGAGGGGGGGGAGGGTCGAGCCTATTCTCTTTTTAGAAAGGAGTACCCACTTGGTACACCCTATGTTGTGAGATTCACTTGTCGAACTTGAAACTGTCAACTCCAATGATCGTGCAATCATCGTACCCACCCACCCGCAACTTGGTTTGCAAACCAATGCGGAAACGATTGCAATGAGTGCTTAGCGTTGGCTGGTGCATCACTGCGGCCTCGCTAGCCCGCGCATGCTCGCGCGAGCAGCGGCCAGCTAGTTTGGCGCGACCGACGCGAACGCGGTGGCCCTGACCGCTCGGCACATCCCAGCGGGCACTTCAATTCGAGTCGTCACGATGATGATAGTAGCGATGCTGGTGACGATGCTGACAGCGACGACGGGGCAGCCAGTGACGGCGCCGATGCTGATCGCGCCGTCGACGATGACGGCGCGTCTTCACGTCGGCGACGAAGGCTTTGGAAGGAGTTCGACATGCGCGCGGCAGACGCACGATATTGGCCCGCATGGTATGATTTGACTCGGACCGTGCCACCCCAGCACGCGCGCAAAGGCGTTCGAACGATTTCGACATGCACGCGCGCGAACATGTTATGAACAAACAAACCGATGGTTGTCTGAAGAATTCGCAAGAGCGCGCACGAAAGTTCCTCTGGGAAATCCTTGTCTTGAAATTTGAAACACATTTTTCAACACTCGATTTTTTGATATGTGTTTTGGACACTCAATTTTGACAGCCTTACGTAACCGAAAGTTTTGAAGGATTTCGGCATGCGCGCACGAGGACGTGCGCGAGCGAACTTCGTCACATTCTTTGCGAATGATGATTGGAAACTGATGGTCCTTGATAAACGACTGTGCGCGCATAATGTTATGGCGGGGGGGGGTCGATACCGGCTTGGCCGGGATGGTTTGCGCAAATATTTACCATGGACGATGGGGCAAAATCATTTGTAAATTGCAATCGTGGGTATCGATAGTCCCGGGGCGGGTGGGTAGAGTCTATAAGCGACGGGCGGCGAAGGCGGCAACATAGCCGCCAGACCGTCAGACAGGCCCAGACAACGAGCGGCGACGACGCGGCGACGGGGCGGCGACGGCGGCGACGTAGCCGCCAGACAGACTGCCAGACGGGCCCAAATGACGAGCGGCGACGAGGTGGCCACGGGGCGGCACCAGCGGCAACGTAGCCGCCGGAACGCCACAGGCCCACTTCCTGAGGGAAGACATCAAGAAACCCTAGAGGTGCAAACACCGCTTGGGAAAGATGTACATGACACGTGTCGTTGTATGCACGTCTGATTCTACGTCTACGTGTCTTGTAACATCTCTATATTTGTGTGAATGGATGGATGGACGTCGACGCATGTACACAGATGTGCAAATATACCGTGCGCATGCTTACTCGGCTGAACGCGTGCGCTCATGTGAGCATCTGCAAACTCACAGCGCACACAGCCCTGCACCTTGCCCACGTCGGTGCTTGTGCCGCGCGGGCTGGATCGGTGGGCCTGGAATGCTGGCGCCTTCGTCTGTGGACGGGATAACACCCCTCCCACTTCTCCGAAAGCTGTTGCTGCCCACGCAGCGGCAAAAAAGATAGTCCACGCTCGGAGGCCTGGAAATTGGCACCAACGCCAAGACAGAGGGCTGCCTCCACGGGGGGAAGATGGCCCTGGATTTTCGGCGTTGGTGGTAATAGTTCGGCCACCTTGGAAGCCAGAATATTACCACCATCACCGAGATCGGGATCTTCTTCACTCGGTGGAGGCACACCGCCGATCTTGGTGTTTGTGTCAACCTCTCGGCCTGCGATGCAGGTTCCGGCCAGGAGGAGGAGGAGGAGGAGGAGGAGGCGGAGGAGGAGGAGGAGGAGGAGGAGGCGGAGGGGGAGGGGGAGGGGGAGGAGGGATCGGGATCTTCTTCCCTCGGTGGAGGCACGCCGCCGAAATTGGTGTTGGTGTCAATCTCCAGGCCTGCGACACGTCTCGCGCGCGGGCGCGCCGGAGCCGCGCACATCATGAGTGCACGACCTCGGACATTGCAGGCACCGCCCACGGGAATTCTCACTGACGGCGCTGTTCCCCATGAAAGCTGACGGGGAAAGAGGGTCTCTTCGGGCCATGCTTGGGGCCCGCGTGGGGGCGAGGGAAGGAGGAGGAGGAGGAGGAGGAGAAGGAGGAGGAGGAGGAGGGAAACGACGACGACCACGACTAGTTTGGGGAATCTCGATGCTCTTTTAGGGTCATCTTGGAGGCAATCGATCGAAAGGTCGCGCTGCTGCTGTGCCGGCAGCGGAAAGCGAAGAGTAGCAATCACGATGGGATCTACGATACGTGAGCCGGGGAGCAGGGGCAGCAGGAAGGACGTGGCCACGATCAGGAGGGAACTGCGTCATGATAAGGGGGGGGGAGAGCAGACAAGGGGGGCCAAGCAGAGAGAGGGCATAAAGGGAGTCCAAGCAGAGCCAAGCGAGAAGGAGGAGGAGGAGGAGGAGGAGGAGGAGGAGGAGGAGGAGAGGGAGGAGGCGGAGGAGGAGGAGGAGGAGGAGGAGGAGGAGAAAGGAGGAGGAGGAGCAGGAGGAAGAGGAGGAGGAGGAGGAGGAGGAGAAGGACGAGCAGGAGGAGCAGGAGAGGGAGGAGGAGGAGGAGGAGGAGGAGGAGTCCAAGCAGAGCCAAGCAGGCAATGCCCTCATGGTAATCGCAAGGCTTCTCACTGAAGCTCACCTTCCCACGAGAGCTGCCGCGCGCGAGCCCCGAACACGCAGGGGGGGGCACGCGGCTGCGGCAGGGCGCCGCGGCGGCTCTGCGCCGGACCGTCGGCGCTCGAGGCGTTGGCGCCGACAAAAAAAGTAAAGAGTGAGCCAGCCTTTCCCCCACCTCCTCCACCAGCCCGTTGGGGCTGTCTGCGCGAAGTTGAGCGTCCCGCCCGCCTCTCCACCAGGATTCTTTCGGGGATGGACGGACCTCCCTTTCGCAAAACGCGGTTTAGCGAAAACGACCTGAGGCCCAAACCTGGCGGGCGCGAGCCTGGAAAACAACAGCCGCGGCGCCCTCTCGAGAACCGAAAACGGACAATTCACTAGTCGACGTGTCACTGTTGGGGGTTCTGTCCGCCCCCGATTCTTGGCCCCGGGTGCAACGCAGAAGAGCTGCAGCGAGCTGGGGCGTGCACCACGAGGGGCAGCGAGCCGGGGCGAGCTGCCAGGCCCGGTGTCCTGGCTACCCCACGGTAGCCGCGAAGAGAAGAGGAGAGTGACCCGAAGACCCGAATTTCGGGTTGGGGGGGGTAAGGGTTCCACACGTGTTTTTTCGACGTTTCCCGACCCCCCCCCACTGGAAATCGAGGGTAAATCTGAGCCTTCGGGTTGGGTTGGGGTGGTTTGGTGGGTGGTGAGAGAGGGCGGGGCACAGGCGAGGAAATGGAATTGACGCCAGGTCACAACCAAAGGCTCCACAGGTGGGCCAACTGCCCCCCGGACTACGCGACGGATTGTTGGGATTCTTCTCTGGCGTTTCCCAACGGCGCCTCGGCCGATCGCGCCAGCCACCCGAAATACCCGGTCGCAAGGCAAGCCTACATGCGCACCACCGCTGACGTATACTCGATCTTCGCCTACACCCTCTTGATCTCGATATGAGACGTCTGTACATGCTCCCGAAATGGGATGGACAAGCCGTCCTCGAATAGGAGTGGCTTGCATGCGTCCAGCACCGAATCACCCATGACGGGGCTATTCTGGAGGCGCTGCACATTCGCCTCGAGGCCCTGAACTTCGCTCCAACGTACATGGCAGACACGCGATTCCGCTGAACCCCAATCAGTGAAACCTTCAAAGACTCGCGCGAACTCCTTCGCGTACTTACACGAAGTCAAATTCAAAAATGCACGGCCAGTGCCGAGCATGGTCGTGATATTGATGGGCATATACAAGAAGTCCACCTTCTCCGCGAACCCGTGGGAGTCCAACAAGACGGCCAGATCTTCCTGCGTGTAGGACGGAGGCACGTTGCACATCACTACTGTAGTGCGCTTCGCGCTCACCGCCTGCTGGGAGACGCTCTGGCCTTCGGAGCAAGAGAGACCAGCATAAACACCAACTTTCGGAGGTCTGCAAGAGCTTCTTCGGATCGGAGCTGGAGCCCCCCTCCCTGCCGCGCAGAGCGCGCCGAGGGCTCCGCTGGAGGCGCCACCAGGGGGTCCAGCACCCAGCCCAGGAAACGCGCGCGGAACTCCG